AAACTAGGGCAGTAATTAGTCTAAAATTACTTCTAGAGTATCTGACATCTAATTTCGACTCCCTACCAGGGTACCTGACCCCTTATTTTGATCCTTTACCAGGGTACCTGACCCCTTATTTCGACCCCCTACCAGGGTACCTGACCCCTTATTTTGACCCCTCTACCAAGGTACCTGACACCTTATTTTGATTCCCCCTACCAGGGTACCTGACCCCTTATTTCGACCCCTAGTCTGTCTCACTGTCCCTGAACCACATTATTTTCCCCACTGCTAAGCCCTCTCTGTAGTGCTAAAGCCCTAAATAAAGCAAGTCTAGATTTCCTCAGGTTCAGGTTCTGAATCTCTGGTCTCCCTAGGGCTCCTTTTCAATTTAAATGGGCTTGTTTGTTACTATCAAAATTATATATATTCAGAGACTAAGCATTAGTCTATTCGACCCCCTACCAGGGTACCTGACACCTTATTTTGATCCCCTACCAGGGTACCTGACACCTTATTTTGATCCCCTACCAGGGTACCCGTGTATGTCTCAAAAGTTGGGTATGAAAATTCTCAATGAGAATTTTTTCACCGGAATGCTGACAGAAACTACTCAGATATGTGTATAAGATGAATTGAAGATATGCTGAACTTGACCGAAGATTTGACTTCAGTGAAATATATAAAAGTCTGAAGAACAGCATCAGAAAGAAATGCAAACTTTAGTGACTTGTTGTGAATCCCCCAGCCCAAACTTCTCATCATATTAAAGCTTTTACACTTTTTTTTCTTTATTAATAGGCTTTTACCTGTAATGTTAACACCGTGTATTATTCTTATTGTCATTTTACACTATATCCACTGGTCCTGGGGCGGTGGGGTAGTCTAGTGGTTAAAGCGTTGGCTCGTCACGCCGAAGACCCGGGTTCGAATCCCCACATGGGTACAATGAGTGAAGCCCATTTCTGGTGTCCCCCCACCGTGATATTGCTGGAATATTGCTTAAAGCGGCGTAAAACCAAACTCAGTCAGTCAGTCCACTGGTCCTACTGAGGATCGTCTGACCCCAGTACCCGAGCTACCCGTTGGAGTACTACAAAAACAGAATACCTGAAATAATAATACCTGAAAACTGAAATCAGATCTCGTTTATTACAACAACAACAAATGACAGATACAAGTTGCTCCATTTCATTGACGTCCATTATGACGTAGGTATGTGCAACTATGCATCAGACCTTGACTGTTTGTTAGACACAAGACTATACATGGCTTTCTCATTGCTAAATGTGATTCAGTATTAAAAGTTTGTAGTGTGTATTTACTTCAGTTAATCGATAACAAAATAAAAAAATGAAGTGTTTATCTAAAGCGAATCTGGCAGTAAGGATGTTCAATTTGAGGCTTTAGGAACCCAAAAACAACAAAGATGGTAAAAGCATGATGGTATTTTTTATTTTGTCTAATTGACATGTGAATGTTATTTTAAAGTTAAAGGTGGGTGGGTGGTCCCCGGTGGGTGGGTGGACCTAGATGGTGGGGCGGTCCCAGGTTAGGGGGTGACCCAAGTGGGTAGGTGGGTGGGCAAAGGTGGTTGGGTGGACCCAGGTGGTAACCCGACTGGTTAGGTAGACCGAGGTGGTTGGGTGGACCCAGGTGGTTAGGTGGACCCAGGTGGGTGACCTGACTGGTTAGGTAGGCCGAGGTGATTGGATGGTCCAAGGTGGTTAGGTGGACCCAGGTGGGTGACCAAACTGGTTAGGTAGGCCGAGGTGGTTGGGTGGTCCTAGGTGGTTGGATGGACCCAGGTGGGTGACCCTACTGGTTAGGCAGGCCAAGGTGGTTTGGTGGTCCCAGGTGGTTAGGTGGACCCAGGTGGGTGACCCAACTGGTTAGGTAGGCCTAGGTGGTTGGGTGGGCAAAGGTGGTTGGGTGGTCCCAGGTGGGTGACCCTACTGGTTAGGTAGGCCGAGGTGGTTTGGTGGTCCCCGGTTGGTGACTCGACTAGTTAGGTAGGCCGAGGTGGTTGGGTGGTCCCAGGTGGTTAGGTGGACCCAGGTGGGTGACCCAACTGGTTAGGTAGGCCGAGGTGGTTGGGTGGTCCCCGGTTGGTGACTCGACTAGTTAGGTAGACCTAGGTGGTTGGGTGGTCCCAGGTGGTTAGATGGACCCAGGTGGGTGACCCAACTGGTTAGGTAGATCTAGGTGGTTGGGTGGTCCCAGGTGGTTAGGTGGACCCAGGTGGGTGACCCCACTGGTTAGGTAGGCCGAGGATGGCCAGAGGATGGATAGTGTCAATTATCTGCCCAAACAGATTCCTCTGAGTGTAAGAAGCAAAAACGTGGTGGAAATGTCCAGATCACTGCAAGTCAGCGATGTGAATGAAGGGTACTTTTAGGGGGTATGCTGTGAAGGGAGCTTCTTCTTGTGAAGGTAGATCCTGCCCACAGGTGATTATATTGCCCTGATCACTGAGTGAGTAAAAGGGTCTTCATGTGTTTTTGTCTAGCATCTTATTGGGAGTTTTTATACAGTGAAACCTTGTTAATGTGGACCCTGTTAAACTGGAAACCTTTCTGTCACAACTGGGAATGTATATAGAGGATATTATATGAGTGCCCATGTTATACTATGTTTACAACACGAGTGCCGAAATGTTGGTATTTCCCAAGTGAGAGCGAGGGATATACCGATATTTAGGCACAAGTGTCGTAAACATAGTATGCTATGGGCACGAATATAATATTCTGTTTATTACCGGAGTCATCAATTTGAGGAAAATAAACCCAAATCTACTTTCAAACATAGACTGGCTACCTGCCGTCGCTGCATGTAGAACGCAATGTCACAGGAGAAACGTGGCGTCATAGCATTGTTCATGACGTCATGTCACCATGACAAAGTGATATTTTGCCCTAGGGCATCGTATGAAAAACCTGAACCCCGATATGTTCGTCCTCGTTTTATGTCGGCATTTGGCAGTGGTCAGCAGTGTGACACAGAGGAACAGCAGAGAGCGGCTTCACACATTCTATCCGTGAACCCAGACTTTAGGTATGATGAGGAAACGCTTAAGTCACTAGGCGACCACACCATCCTCTGGTTACCCTGACACAGACTGGATGATTTATGTGGCTCCCATGTGGTCTGAATATTGTTGATTGTAGCTTTAACAACATGTGTACCACTCAAAGACATAGCTCCTTAATTCCTGTGAATGTGCCACTCAGACACTGACTGTAAGCAGAGCTCGTTGTGGGATGGGCCGATCTTGCTTCGTCTTTAGGGGATTTGATTTGTCTCTGGATCTGTCTACTCAGGAAGGGACAGGTCAGATGAAATAGGGTTTATTAATATCATTGCACTTATAAAGAGACATACAGGTCTTCGGGATGACACAGTGTCGGATTGACCCACCGACCTTCCATTCTCTGGGCAGGCCCTCTATCCCTACCCCTGGAGGTAACCTGGACTCAACAAGAGAATACAACATAATAATCGACATTAACATTGTTTATTGTAATAAATATGTGAAATGTGTGATCCTGTGCCGAGAGCTCAGGTCACAAATCATTTGAAGTTAAGCAACGTTGAGCATGGATTCTTTTGTAGGGTAACCGAGTTTGGCAGCTTGATTCCGGAGAGTTTCTAGGGCTTCGGTCCTGCCCCACAATGAAGCACATGTGATACTAGACTAACGCTTAGTCTCTGAATATATATAATATCGATTGTAACAAAAAAAACATTTAAATTGAAAAGGAGTCCCAGGGAGACCAGAGGGAAATCTAGACTTGCTTCATTTAGGGCTTTAGCATTGCAGGAAGAGCTAGGCTGTAGGGAAAATAATGCGGTTTAGGGACTTTGAGGCACACTAATGTGGCACATGTGCTCTCACCTTAGGCAAGTGAGTTTGTTTAAAATTGCCTCTGTTTGCCTAGCAGAAAATGGGTACCCAGTGGGATAAGTCATGTGACTATTAACCTTCAAGCGCCTCACAGCTTGGGTTATCCGGGGTAATAATAATAGCACTTTGAACAAGATATTCATCCTGGATTGGTGCTATAAAAGTGGACTATTATTATTTGAACTGAATATATTACAGAACAACAAACCTATAGAACTCATCCTTAAAGTATAAAAACTTTGCTCAGAGAAGCATCCCCTATTACAAGTAGGTTGTGTTTAGCATGAACACTGTACAACTGTGTATGCATCCTTCCAGGAACTATTAGACCCTGCAAGTTTACACCTGCCTGACTTATATATCTGGTCTCCATACGCGCAACATTACCAGTTATTTATAGCATTCCTCCATTATCTAATTGAGTTAAGTATTTTTCACCAGTAAAATCCAGGAATACCAAGGGCAGAATTCCGGCCTATTTAAGTCTCTTACTTTCTGACTGATAATCACCATGATTGGATTTTCGGGGCAAAAATTGTCAGGTACATGGAAGGATTTTCAGGTCTGACGTAAGAGAAGGGTCTCAGGACGCATGTTATTATGTGAAGTTCACACGTGGAGAGTTTTACTTGGGAAGTCAAATGAACTTATTTCTGTACGGAGCAGAGACAGTTTGATGGTTTATGTCACTTTTAACTATATTCCAGGCATACTTGAAATTTGCATCACATATTCCTAGCATTCCAGAAATGGGTATCACATATTCCTGGCACTCCAGAAATGGGTATCACATATTGTACCCATGTGGGGAATTGTACCGAAATAAATGCTTGAACCATAACACTACCCCTCTGTCCCTGGTAGGTTGTGGTAGAACAACAATCTAGAACACACTTGTTAGACCTCTAACGAGCTAGAACACTGAGGTATGCCTAACCGATTGTGACCGAACAAACCAGCAGCCTCACCGCAGTAGTGGAGGGGGCACCGTCAGTATCTCCAACCTCATACTAGTGTCTGTCCAGGTAGTGGAGGGGGCACCGTCAGTATCTCCAACCTCACCCTAGTGTCTGTCCAGGTAGTGGAGGGGGCACCAGCAATGTCTTGAACCTTACCCTAGTGTTTGTCCAGGTAGTGGAGGGGGCACCATCAGTATCTCCAACCTCACCCTAGTGTCTGTCCAGGTAGTGGAGGGGGCACCAACCTCACCCTAGTGTTTGTCCAGGTAGTGGAGGGTGCACCGTCAGTATCTCCAACCTCACCCTAGTGTTTGTCCAGGTAGTGGAGGGGGCACCAACCTCACCCTAGTGTTTGTCCAGGTAGTGGAGGGGGCACCATCAGTATCTCCAACCTCACCCTAGTGTCTGTCCAGGTAGTGGAGGGGGCACCAACCTCACCCTAGTGTTTGTCCAGGTAGTGGAGGGTGCACCATCAGTATCTCCAACCTCACCCTAGTGTTTGTCCAGGTAGTGGAGGGGGCACCAACCTCACCCTAGTGTTTGTCCAGGTAGTGGAGGGTGCACCATCAGTATCTCCAGCCTCACCCTAGTGTTTGTCCAGGTAGTGGAGGGGGCACCATCAGTATCTCCAACCTCACCCTAGTGTCTGTCCAGGTAGTGGAGGGTTCCCCATCAGTGTCTCCAACCTCACCCTAGTGTCTGTCCAGGTAGTGGAGGGGGCACCAACCTCACCCTAGTGTTTGTCCATGTAGTGGAGTGGGCATCATCAGTATCTCCAACCTCACCCTAGTGTCTGTCCTGGTAGTGGAGGGGGCACCATCAGTATCTCCAACCTCACCTTAGTGTCTGTCCAAGTAGTGGAGGAGGCACCATCAGTATCTCCAACCTCACCTTAGTGTCTGTCCAAGTAGTGGAGGGGGCACCGTCAGTATCTCCAACCTCACCCTAGTGTCTGTCCAAGTAGTGGAGGGTGCACCGTCAGTATCTCCAACCTCACCCTAGTGTCTGTCCTGGTAGTGGAGGGGGCACCGTCAGTATCTCCAACCTCACCCTAGTGTCTGTCCAGGTAGTGGAGGGGGCACCGTCAGTATCTCCAACCTCACCTTAGTGTCTGTCCAAGTAGTGGAGTGGGCACCAGCCTCACCCTAATGTCTGTCCAGGTAGTGGAGGGGGCACCAGGCTCACCCTAGTGTCTGACCAGGTAGTATCTCCACTCTCACAGTTCTGTACTGGCAAAGTACAGGGTGGGGATGGGGGGACATTAGTGACCCATGTGTCTCAGGCACCCTGATTCGCTTTACAGGGTTGTGTCCCTTTGTTCATGGGTTCGAATCTCAGTTTGCCCATGCTCAAAGTTCAAAGTGAGGTTAAATCCATTGCAATCATTCACAAACTTTTTCATCCTATTTGGTTTTACTAGACAACATGTATTCTTGCATTTATATTTAGACTAAAAAAGCTTGTGATGCCTATAGTGAGTGAGTGAGTGAGTGAGTTTGATTTAACGCCGCTTTTAGCAATATTCCAGCAACATCACGGCGGGGGACACCAGAAATGGGCTTCACACATTTTGCCCATGTGGGGAATCGAACCCGGGTCTTCGGTGTGACGAGCGAACGCTTTAACCACTAGGCTACCTCACCGCCCCGTGATGCCTATAAACAGTATGAATTCTGGATTGAAGCGTCCACAGTAAATTTAGTTAATATGTCCTGTAAACAATTACATAACTGAAGCATTAGTCAACAGAAGTCATTGTCCACTTTACAACTGGTCAGGATGTAAGTGGACAATTAGTCAAATAGCCTAGTTATTCCTTTCCCAAGATTCCAGCTTAGTCTCATAACAGCCTTGACAAGTATTTACTGGATAGAGCTCACACTACAGATTCATTGTGATGATCTTGGGGACTAATTGAGCAAGAATTATTGAATACTTAGTGCTCCAATGATTACAGGAATACAGGTAGTGGACATGCCTAGTAAGCAGTGTAAAATCATTATTTTGTTTTATTTCGAGTGGCGAACACAGGGTCGAAAATCTCCTGTGACCAGGTTAGACTTCTACGGCCATAAGAGAAGGCAGGCTGAGTGATTTCATCACAGGCTTTGTGACAGTGGTTTACAAAACCAGTGTCCTTTCACTAGAGATGCTGGTAGTGGTTTGCTGTGTGCATTGGTTCTGAGCATACTGTGTCAGTCTATGTGCAAGTTTCCCAGCGGAATACATTAGTCCTCAATGGACATGGAGGTGGTGTGAAGCTACACAGAGCTGCTCTCTCAGTAAGACGGACACATAGCCTTGATTGTTCCTGCTAGATAAAAGGCTAGAATATCAATTAATTCTATGCTTCCTTTGAGATGCAGTCGACATTTCTTGAGCAAGGCTGTCGTGCCTGATTGTGATGCATGGCCATCGTGGGCACGGAGGAAAGATGACACTGTGTCGATGGATAGATGGATGACATCTGTATGGGGTGTGTTAAGAGCATTTGTGAAGCTTGCATATGTCGGTAAGTTGAAGTGGTATTCAAGTCTCTAACTGTTTCACGTGTTTTTGTGTCTTTGAAAACGGTGATGACATTTGCAATGTGTTGGGTAGTTTTGTTATTGTTGAGTAGTCTCAGGTTTCTCATGGATCAATAAATGGTGGGAGTTGTTGAGTCGTAGTTCCATGTTCGAACTGCGTGTGGTCAGGCAGGTACTCAGCTCCGATTGATGTTATCTCGAGATTATTGAAGCTGATGACTTGTTCTGTTGTCAACAGTCGAGGTGATGAGATTCATGGGCTGGCTAACATTGTTGTTCCTGTCATTACCATCATTACCATGCCAATTCCCATGAATATGTGCCCAATTCTCGGGGTAGTTCCTTCATTAGGACTGATCATCACCATAATGGTCTCCTCGTACAGGAAGGTGCTACCAGTCTGTCAACCAATTTCATCTGTGCTACATGCATATCTCTTCTCTTGAGGAATTCAGCACTGTTACTTCAAATGTCTCAGTGTGTTGACTTATAGATTTCCATTGACAGTTGACTGGCTTTCAGTTATGTACATATACACAAAATGAGTAAATTCATTTTGCTTTCAGGGAATAGTTCTTTACAGTGATTATATTCTGAGAATGTCAGTGACACTATACCAACACCATCAATACCTGTTTTTGACGTCATAAGTTGTACTTAAAATGTGATGTCAACTGTACAATATTTTAATTTATTGTGGATTTTCATAGTCCCTAACGCAATCCGATCAAGGTCATTAAGGGATTGTCCATCTAGTTGTCCAGTAGCACCAAACCAAAATTTGGAACTGACCATTTGAAAACTGGCACCATAGGCAAAATAACACAATACTATGTTTGCTTAACATGTTGTACATGTTGTCTAGACAGTGTTATTGGTTCCAGGTGTTCAACTGAAACAGTTTCTTTTCGTAATTAGGGAAATAATCAGCCATTAGACATCATTAAGGTCGTACCAAATGGTGTGAACGTCTTCATTCCAACTACAGAGTTAGCATGACTACTTCTCATCAGTGGTGCAGCCAAATTCATGTTCTGAATTTAAACAACACATAAAATGTGTTAAGCAGGGTTCATTCTGTATGGTCACATATCCACAAATTTCATGTCTCTTTTGGAAATATCCACAAGTCACATTGATCTCATTTTGATCCAAAACATGACCATATGTGTACATGGATATACAAAAACACTGTACAAGATTGCTGTACAAAAACACTGTACAAGATTGCTGTACAAAAACACTGTACAAGATTGCTGTACAAAAACACTATACAAGATTGCTGAACAAAAACACTGTACAAGATTGCTGTACAAAAACACTATACAAGATTGCTGAACAAAAACAGTGTACAAGATTGCTGTACAAAAACACTGCACAAGATTGCTTCTCAAAAATCAATGTCAAGTATTTTTATACATAATTGCAGTACAATATCTCAGTATAAGAGGGTGGGTGGGGGTAGTCTAGTGGTTAAAGTATTCGCCTATCACGCCAAAGATCGATCACGGGTTCGATTCCCCACATGGAGACAATGTCTCCCATTTCTGGTGTCCTCCATCATGATATTGCTGGAATATTGCTAAAAGTGGCGTTAAACTCAACTCACTCACTCAGTGCATGAACCTTTTAAAGTGTATTCTACAAGATCGGTATACAAGGACACCGTGAAGTTCCCTGTACAAGAACACTGTATCTTCCTCAATGATGTCAGAAGGCATTAAACATGATATCAAAAGGGTTGTCAAATATAATATCATTAAATATTTCTTTTCATTTCATTTGTTTCTGTACATGTTTGGTTAAAAACTTAAGAAAAGAAATACAAAAATTACATTAAACTGATTAAAATATATATATTCCCGATGTGTATAAAATGGAACCCAGAGGCAAATCTGTTTTACTCCACATCAAAATGTACTGTTCAAACAGAACAACCATTCTTTATAAACTGTGGAAAGACAGTTCCGCTTCTCCATGGTTACCTGGCAAATAAGGACCTTGACAGCTCCAGGTCTAAATTCTGATACATTTTCACAAAGGCACAGCAGTGCCAGAGGAAAACCCAACAATACTGTGTGTCTATTATAGTACATCTTCTCTAAGTAAAAAGCCCAATTTGAGCAGCGAGCTTCAGGAACTGTGTAGAGGCTGATGAGGAGGCGTAATAGTCGGAGAACAGATGTAACAAGGAGGCAGAGATGAGGAGAGAGGACTCAAGAAGATGCTGGTGATGTCTCCTGGCGTAAGCTGCTAGCTGTGTCTACCAGCATTTGCCACAGTGGGCATGCAGTGTCCTATTGCTGAGAACAGGAGACATGACATTTCCAGCTCGGAATAGATGTGTTGAAAATAACCTCGTACTTATGTCACTTTGTAAATACATCATAGAGTGGTGTCTATGAATTTGAGATGTTTGTTTAAATGAAAGTGGTATATTTGTGTTGTTCTGCTGTGCCAGACGATGATTGGTGTTTGTGTTTGGAGAAGATTGGTGTTTGTGTTTTGAGTTGTTGATTCATGGTGGTGTTGTGATGAACTCATTGTTTTGCACCAAGTAAATCTGACACTAGACAAAACATTTGATCTGTGAAACCTTTCTTGCACAATGAATTATTCTCTGAGTCAGTGGCGTGGGTTGATGGCTGAGTGAGTGAGTGAGGTTTTAATGCCATTTTGAAAAGTATTTTAGTTCTGTCACCATGTGTCTGCTTATTGTAGAAGGAAATTCTGAGTGAGTTTAGTTTTTACACATCTTTTAGCAATATTCCAGCAATATTCCAGCAATATCATGGCGGGTACACCAGAAATGGGCTTCACACATTGTACCCATGTGGGGAATCGACTACCCCAACCCCCCTGGAAATCCTGAAGTGATGCAAGTCTCAGACATTTACCACTAACTACGAACATGGTGCCGACCGAGCATCATCATCAGGGAAAACGGACTTTTGAACAAAAATTCCCCACCTTGTAAGATTCACCTAATTTTTGTAATTTTTTAGGGCCTATTATAAAATTATATGAAAATAATTATGGCGTAAACATTCCATCTGGATTTTGGTTGCCTTAATTCTGTGGTTTCCACAGACACATACAGAAAATGAAATGAA